ACCCTCTACTGCCGATGAAATGTGGGGGCACAGAGGCCCTAGCTGCACCCCACATCCTGGAAACCCCTCCGCACAGGTGGTCATCCTGGACTACACCATACTCTGCCTGCGGGACGGTCCTCTCTGCCGCTCACCCGGCCTGGTCTGAACTAGGCGCCCAGCGCCGGTGTAGGTCCCCTGGGAGAAGGCAGAACTCCAGAGTATCTGTTGCCCTCTGCTGACAGCACACTGGCAGTGTTTGCCATACCTTGTCTGAGGCAAAGCCAAACCTCAGAGACGGTTCCACAGCATCCCACAGGGAGCTCCTCCCAGAGCAGCCCAAGGGCTCCCCCAGAGTCTTCGAAGGGGACTCTGGTCTCGGTCCATTTTTCTGCTGCTAGTAACAGAATACCATGCGTTAGACAAATATTACACAGAAAAGAAGTTAATCTAGGCTCCAGCTCCGGCTCAGGGTTGAGCAGTGGCATGGATGGCCTTCTGGTTGGCGGAATCCTGTGGCAGCACAGGGCATCCCATGGCAAGAGGGTGAGAGAGACCCGGCCAAGCTGGCTTTCATAGCAGACCCTCTCTCCAGTTAACTCATTAGCCCATTAACCCACTTGTCCGTTAATCACATGAATGGGTTAACAGAGCCCCAGTCACCATTTTTTAAAAACCAAGATAGGATCTTGTTATGTTGTTCAGGTTGGCCTCAAACTCAAGACCCTCCTGCTTCAGCCTCTCAGATAATTGGGATTACAGGCACATGCCGCTATCCCCAGCCCGAATCACCTCCGAAAGGCCCCCATCTGGTCCTGACTCTTAATATTGTACAATGGGGATTAAATTTCAACATGAGTTTCCAAGGGGGGCTAACCATATTCAAACCATAGCAACTGCATTTTAAAAAACACAGCCCCTTGCCAGGCATGGTGGCACATGCCCATAACCCCAGCACTTGGGAAGCTGAGGCAGGAGGATCGTTAAGAGTTTGAGACCAGCCTGGGCTATAAAGTAAGCTCAAAGCCAGCCAGAACTGCACAGCGAGACCCTGTGTAAAAAAAAGAACAAAAGACAAAAACACTGCAGCCCCTTTCCACGGACGCCTTCTCCATGGCATTAAGCTTGGCGTGTGACCTGCAGTGGCGCTCCATGGGGGTTAATCACACTCACTGTCAAACACAGCATGGCCACACAGCCTGCTCTGATGAATGCAGTGAGAGGACAGCATAGGTGCAGACAACCCTGTCAACCCAGGACGCAAGAGAAGAAATGACAGGCATCAGAGCCAAAACTATCATGAACTCGTAAGAGATGCATCTTTACTGTTACATGCTATGGGACCAGGGTGTCACATACTGTTGCACCTTGAGCCATCTCTCCACTGTGTGTGAGAGCTCACTGACCTGGGTCCCCAACTTGGACGGGCTGAATGCTCTTGAATCTTACCTGCTGGGGAGCAGGCAGAGGCCCAGCTGTGCAGTCGGAGCTGTGCTGATGTATAGCCTGTCACCCAGACACCCGCAGGAGCAGCCTCCTCTGCGGGAGCAGTGCCCTATTTCCAAAGCAGGAGCCATCTCAGCCGCTGGTACTGAGGTGGAGATCAGGAATCCAACAGCATGGCAAAGTACCTGACTCCCTACAGTGCCCCCTAGGCAGGGGGTGGCTCTAGCTGAGTGTGTGTAGGTGGGCACTTGGGCTGGAGACATAGGGACTAAAACAAACCAAGCGAGACAGTTCCAGCAAGCAGGACGCAGGTGTCAAGGCCCAACTCCTGGAAAGGCTGAGGGGCAATGTGAACACAGAGAAACAGATCGGTAAGGAAAAGTGGACCAGCTGCTTTGTGACAGCACCTGCCCATGTTTCCTGGCTTGATTTTAAACATAACAGACAAATTTAAGACATAATGACACACTATTTTTAAAATAAAACGTTATAAATCAATTTATAAAAATTCCAGACAGTACTTAGAATAAAATTTATATTTCACCATATATCAAATTACTACAGGGATACATAAAATATAATAAATTTTATCACTGCTTGTATAGATGTATACCAAGTAGGAAAAATATACATTAAAAGAACACTTAATCAGGTAGAGTTTATCTAGGAATTGAAAGATGTTTCAATACTATAAAAACCTTTAATATAAGCAATCACATTAGGTGACTTAAATGATAAAAGTATGATTATATCAAAAGATGCCAGTTCATTTTATCAAGCTTTTAGCTTCCAGCAAATAACAATAGATGTTATTTCTCTTATTTTAAAAAAGAACATTATGTAAAATCAACAACTAACTTCATACTTAATAAAGAAATATCAAAAAATATTTTATCACATTTTGTACTTAACAAAAAAACAATAAGCATACATAAGAAAAATCATTTTTCAGCTATGATTTTATATTTAGAAAAAATAAGTAGTTCCTTAGTAACTATTCACCAAAAAATAAACACGTTAAAAATTAACTAAAGACAGAGATTCCCAAACTGAAGAGAATATAGATATACAATACTCAAGAAGGAGGAATTAACATAATAAAGGATTTATAAAACCTAGACGAAAATAATAACAAAGGAAAATGAAAAAAATAAGAAACACATCAATAATGAAGAGACTTAATCCATGATGGAAATAATTAGGTATAAATCTTAAAGAGTTAATTTTAGACCAAGACAATCGAACGGAAGCCATGAAAAAGATGTTTTCCTTATATAAAACACTCATTAGGCAGAAAAAGATTTCAGACTCTGAAAAAAAATGGAGGTAGAAGACCAAACAATAGGATACTTATTCAAGCAGATTCAGATACAGAGTTTAACTCACTATGTGGAGAAAAAAAAAGTCTTTCTTCCAAGCATTAGAATTACCAGGAAGAACAGGTAATGCTTTTGATCAATTTTATGCCAGGGGATAAAATCAGAAAACACTGCAGTGCAATGCAGTAAGCACGGGGCTGGCACCACACGACCTCCGCACCAGCCGCCTTGCTGGGGATCTGGCAAGGCTAGCCAGTATTTTGAAGATTATAATTTTGCCAGATATTGAAGCAGACAGAGACATAGCTCAATTAAAAGTGAATAATTTAAAATCAGAAACCCCTTATAAAAATCCAGATTTCTGGGCTCTTTGGAAAAGTCAAACAATAGGACCAACTGGATGGAAAGCAGGGGGCCGCGGCCCCCGTTAGATGTCAGATGCTACAGCACTTTCTCATGCTCCTGCGCCTCTTCCATCCAGTCTGTGTCATCCCTTCAACTCCCCTTTCCTGTCCCTGTAGGACTGATTTGAGTTTAGGACTCTTGCCCTACAGGATGGAGACCAAGGAAGGGTTCAGCAGAATAAAAGCAATATGAATAGGTTTGGTTTTAAAAGATCACCTCGACAACTTGATGGAAGACAGGAGAAGGAGACCCAGGAAACCCACAAGCCCTTATTTTATTGCAAATTGAGGCCAGGCTATCATTATGGATATGGGGCAAGAAGCCCACCTGCCACTTCCTACAGAAACCTCCCACAGCAGGAAACTTGAAAATCGCAGAGTTAGGCACCTGTGAGGATATACTAGAGGAGTGCAGTGTGACCCAAGAGGAAGGGAAGGAGCCTTAAGGGTGCTTCCATTCTTACTGGGAGTCCGTAAGAGCAAGGGTGCCTTGGGCAGCTACCCCACTTCCTCAAGCCTGTCCTTCTGCCCCAGATAACTAATGGTGACAAGGTCAGCCTGAGGAAATAAGGAAATAGTGCACTAGGCAGGCATTATTCATACCCCTGGCTGTGAGGAGAGACCCACCTGTTTGAGCACCCATCAGCCACCTGCAAAAACTAAATCCCCAAAGCAGCTTCCCAGCAAGACCGCTGTGAGTCCCCTATCTTCCAGTCACGGCTGGCTTCCTGCCCTTCGGTACCTGAGCTCCCAACTAACCTACCAGTCCTGGGGCAAATAGCAGACCTGGTTTGGTAAAAAAAAAAAAAAAGGGCAGAGCAGGGTTAACACTGGAGAAGTTTCCTGCGGGCAACACCCCCTCCAACACTGGGTAACCAACCTGACACCATGGCCAGGAGAAAGAAGGGTACAGGACAACAGGCCAGGTTTTGGCTTGTCCCTAGCCACATGACTTGATGCTGGTAGCTTCCAAAAAAAGAGGAAATAAAAAGTGAAAGAATACTGTATGAAAATCTGTATTTCAACCCAGTATATATAAATTTGTAGAATCTTGTTCAAGACACGCAGCTTCACCGCACAAGCCCGATAAATGACCAAAGAAAACACCTCCAGCTCTAAAAGGAAATTCTCTCATGGCTGGATCATGAGATGAAAGTAAAAGAAAGATACAGAGGAATGATTATGTGAAACAATTTTACCAAATGCCAACACAATTCAAATAAAATGGAGTATTACAGAATTCAATAAAATATTACAACGGTTACAGAGAGCCAATAACTTCATACACAAGAACATAATTGTAAGATATATAAAAAGAACTCAATAATGTAAATGTAAAGGACATGTGTCTATATCCTATGCAGTTTCCATTAAAGCTTGAAGCTGGTTACAACAAAAAGCCATCATAGTAAAATGATAAAGTATAAATTATAATAATAATAAAATGTAAAAATACTGTTCAAAAAAGCACCACAGCTGGGGCAGGGGGTGGCCCAGTGGTAAGGCACTAGTGCTGAAAAGAAAAATACCAGGAAAAATCAGAACTAGGAAAAAAAGAGGAGGAGGAGAAACAAAATATGCAGAACATAAGGGCTTTCAGAAATACTGTTGCTGACAACCAAAGTAAAAAGATCACTGTCAGTGTCAGGACTGTCCACTAGGGGAAAACACAGAATCTCTCCCTTTGAAAAGGACAGTTTTAGCCAGGGATGGTGGTGCATGCTTGTAATCCCATCACTTGGGAGGCTGAGGCAGGAGGATCATTGCAAGCTCGAGACCAGCCTAGGCTACAAAGTGAGCTCAAGGCCAGCCTGAACTGCAGAGCGAGACCCTGCCTCAAAAAGACAAAAAAAAAAAAAAAAGGAAGAAAGAAAGGATAGTTTTGCATTCTTTCTCCCAACAGAAAAGAACATTTCATGATAAAATTTCCCTAAATTAAATAAACCCAGCCATACAAAAACTCACTATATTATCCCTATTTCTTAAATTTTGTGTCATTACGGGACAGTTTTTTTTTTTTTTTTCCAAGCACTTTATCCAGTGACATTTGAGACATTACTACAAGCACAACAGAGCATTGCATCAGCTATGGTACCTTGATACAAACAAAGCTCAGCACATCTCTGCATAGCCTGATGAATCCCACAGGGCGTGGGGGTCAGACAGGAAGGTGAAGTCAGCACAATGAAGGTGAGTATATAGATTTCTGAGGGTCCATCCCCATCCACAAAAAGAAAAGATACAATGTGGGAGAACAGATGACCTGCGTGCGCATCTTTCAAACTATAGCAGGTGGGCTTTGGTAAAAGCGCAATAAAAGATGAAAAGTAAAGAGGTGAGGTAGAAATCTCTGCTGAGAATCCCAAGACTATTTGCTTTGTGGGGCTGGTTGAGGATGGACCCCCAAAACTTGGCTTTCACCCACACAGAATGGTTGATACCCTCCTGAGACTATTAAAGGCCACCCCACATTAGCACAGAGGGAGGCTCAGCAATAAAAGGTCATGTGGAAAATGCATTCAATGCCTACAGGATGCAGGTACTCTGAATATTATGAAGAAGATATTGTTATGTAGCACCCATAAGCTAAGCAAAAGGAAGGAACGGTTTTATAAATTCAATACTGTGCAGATTTTATAAAGAGTTACATTTAAAATTTGTTAGAATTGAAACAGGCCAGAACAAGAGAAGGTAGTTAAACTAGGATATATATTAATGGATGTGTGCATAAAACAAGATTATGTGTAAATGTGAACAAACATGGAAAGACGTTTCTGAAACAGCTAAGTAAAAACTTGTGTATGATTATCACAGTGTAAACCGTGACTGCGGATGGATGGCAGCGAATGGAGGTCTGCAGAAACCAACCCTTGGCAAAGCTCCCCCCCGCAGGCCGGGGAAGGCGCTTGGAACACCCCGAGGCTTTGCATTCAACTCGTGCCCTCTTTTTGTCAGCTCTGCATGCAGCCTCATCCCCACACACCCATCCGTCTCCTCCCGGTGGATGTTCTCCCTTCCGTCTGTAATCGCTGAGGTAGGTGTCATCAGAGCACCAGCGAGTGACCAAGGAATGCGCGGTTGCAGAGCGCAGCAGAAGCCCTGCTTTCAGATCTTCCTGGATGGACGCGCCGCTTCCGGCGGCCCCGATGCCCTGCAGGGGTTACCTGGGCGCGGCCTAGGGGCCGACTGAGCAGCGACAGGGGCAGGAGGCCTGGTTTCCGCAGCCCCAGCCGGGCCGGCTCCTCGTTTCCCAGGGCTCCGTGGATGCTCAGGGGCGGCAGCCAAGTCATCTACGATGAACAAAGAGAAGCGCTTTCCCAAAGCAGCCTTTTAGCACCCCACGCCTCATATGACTCACACAAGACTCCCAGCACCCTGGGCTTTGAGAGTTTGTGTCTTCTGGATTAAAATACATAATTGATATATTTATTATGATTGACATATTGCAAATGGCGTATTAGCAAGCAGAAAGTCACTATTTCCTACGTGGGAAAGGGTCACTGAAGGAGACCACATGATGACAGTGGCCGCCCCTGGACCCAGAATGAGGGTCCCTGCCCCCAGTGAGGGGTCCCTCAACAGCCGCTACTGTCTATGCAGAACCCTCCCCAACTTCAAATCTGCAGTCTACCACTAACATCCCCACACAAGAAAACTCTGTATTAAGAGCTTAGAGCCTTTGACTTTGGTAACCCAGTTTTCTTTGTTGGTGGTGGTGGTCTGTTTGAGACAGGGTCTTGCTCTGGGTATGTAGTTCAGCCTGGACTCAACTCACTGTGATCCTCCTGCCTCAGCCTCCCCAGTGCTGGGACTAGAGGCATGCGCCACCACAGCCAGCTGAAGGTAGTTTAGGAGCCAGCAATTCTCCTAAACCCACCACAAACATATTTTCAACTATGAGAAAATCTAATAAAATAAGTAATTAAAAGAACACCAAACCACACTGTGCAAGCCTTAAAAAATGTTAGAGGGTGGGAATGAACCCCACAGTGCAGCATGTGCCTCGAATGCTCAAGGCCCTCGGTTCGACGTGTACACAAACACAGAACAATCGGGGAAGATGGTGTTGTACAAAGTGAAAATTTAAGATAGAAAACTAATGCTATCTGAAACACAATTAGATTAGTATTTCCATAGGAACAGGACCCAAGTGCTGCTGTTAAAATAATTGTTGTGGATTACAGTAAGGAGAATCATACTCAAGTTTTATTTCTAGTCTGGTTTACAAATTTTTCAGTGATGTGGTTGAAATTACTTAAAAATAAAAAAAGTGCCAGGTGTCATAGTGCACACCTGTAATCCTAGCACTCTGGGAGGCTGAGGCAAGAGGATTGCATGTTCTGTTCCACCTTGGCCAACTTAACAAGATTCTGTCTCAAAATTATGATTATTATTTTTTTGGTACCAGGAATCAAACTCAGGACCTTGTGCTTACCAGGCAGGTGCTTGTGCCGCTGAGCTATATCCCCAGCCCCTGTCTCAAAATTAAAAATTAAAAAAGGGCTGGGGATGTAGCTTACTGTGAAGGCTACATCCCTAGTACCCCTGCAAAAAAACCCCAAAAATTCTAATAAAAGGAAGTCATCCCTCCTTATCCTTACATGTCCAGCTTCCACCCCATCTCCCTTTGCTCTTCCCAGCCCTCAAACTGTCCCACCTCCCTCCTGACCTCCTAACTGCCCAGGAGTCACACTGTCCAAACATTTAGGCAGAATCTGTCTTCCCTTCTTCACTCAGACCACAATTCTAAGTAATACAATGTTGACTGTCCTACAATTCCCACAGACAAAGTCGCAGCTAACACAGGAAGTCCTTTATCCTCACACTCCCTTTCAAGGGATGCCCCGATTTCTTTATGGCACAGCACCTCAAACCCACCTCCCTGTGGACCACCCCTGTCTACCTCTGCCACGCCCACCTTTCTGCTCAAGCCTCTGGTGCAGCTTCATATGCTTGTAGGCAGCGATGATCTGAAAATTCACAACACTTGGGATGCTCAGTCCTTGGTCCTGCAGCAGGCTCAGGGCGGCGGCGTGAACAAGCTGATGGGACCGGGTGCAGGCCTGGGATCTGCACTCTCCCCTGACAAAGGCTCTGCAGACGTGGAATTTGTTGCACTTGTCCTTCAGGTTGCAGTAACCGTAGAGGGGATCGCCGCCTTTGTTGTACAGCAGACAGACCTGTAGGAAAGGAGGCGGCGCTTGAGGTACCAGTTTTCACAGTATCTTTTCATTGGAGGAACCACAGCTTCTCCAACTGAAGTGGACATTAAACGGCACCCTTTCTGTGAATGCTTTAATTGACACATGTTGACGGGTTACAGCCAGGCATCTTGGTACACATGTGCAATTGTATCCATTGTGAATAAACAGCAGATCGGGGGTAAGTGGCCCACCTGACAACTCAGACATATTAAGGTGTCATAAAAAATATGATACGTGTTTAAATTTTAAAAATTAAGCAGGATGTGGTGGCACAGTTTGTAATCCCAACACTTGGGGAGCTGAGGCACAAGGATCACAGTGAGTTCAAGTCCATCCTGGGCTACAAAGCAAGGCCTTGTCTCAAAAAATATATATATATTACAGTAAAAGATGCACTGCCATTAATTCCCTTCAAAATATTCCCCCGCCTGCTTTGAGTACACTTGTCCCGTCATTCTTGCCCATTTTTGAAGCCGATCTGGAAGACCTCTTCAGCTGTGCTCTCCTGGCTGTTTCAATGCGCTGAATCAATTGAAAACATTTACTTTTTATGACCATTTGACTTTGGAAAAGAGCCCGGAGTCGCGTGAGGATAGAGCTGGTAAACAAGGTAGACCGTAACGTTTTTATGAGCCTGCTTTCTGCTGAAGGGCACTGGGCAGCAACGTTCACTGTATTTTTTTTTTAAATCATACCTGCTAAGGGGCTGGGGATATAGCTCAGTGGCGTAAGCACCTGCCTGGCAAGAGCAAGGTCGTGAGTTCGATCCCTGGTACTGCAAAAAAAAAAAAAAATCATACCTGCTAAAGACACTCAGTCAAGAGGATTTTCAGAAGTGGTTTAAAAAGTGGTAGAGCAGGACGTGGTGGTATGCATCTATAATCCCAGCACTCAGGAGGCTGAGGCAGGGGGACTGGCATGAGTTCAAGGCCAGCCTAAACTATGTAAGAAGGCCCTGTCCCAATAAACCAAAGAAAGAAAGAGCGGAGGGGGGGGGAGAGAAAGAGACAGAAAGAGAGAGAGAGAGAGAGAGAGAGAAGCATTGCAATTGGTGGGCCATATGGTTGTTCTGTTTTCTGAGAAACTGCCATGCTGTTTTCCATAATGGTTACACTACTTTGCACTCTCACCAACCACGCATGGGCATTCCTCTTTCTTTGTACCTTCACCAGCATTTATTTTTTTGTTTTTCAACAACAGCCATTGTAACCAGGCTGAGGAGATATCTCAGGATGATTTTGATTTGCATCTCCCTGATATAAATGGCATCTTCTGATCATTCATGGCTGTTAAAATCTTAGGGCGAAAGGCTAATGGCTAGTTCACTGTACTAATGTCCCCTCAGATCGCCCCAGCTGCTGTGGCGTTGGCTGCTAACAATTCACAGCTGCCCCTCTCGGACCTTAGACATGAAGACAACCTGCTCTCCTCCCGAAAGCTAGGGAGCAGAGCCAGCCAGGGACTTCCGTGGACATACAAAAGGCTGGTCCTTGCCTTAGGCTCCTGCAATTCCTGAGTGCAGTTTTTACCCCTTAGGCCCCCATGAATCAAGTCAAGGCCAGGCTTTACCCTCCTGGTCCACTTTCCTTCCCCACGTCCTGCTTCTGTCTCTCCCTTCCAGGGCTCTCTGAAGAGCCCTCCCTCAGCAATTCACTTGAGCCTGAATCCTTACCTCAGGCTCTACTTTCAACTAAGCCAACCTCCACCGGGAGCACTAATGTGTCATTTCTGACCTAGACAAGGGTCATGAGGGACAGCTACGGTGAACTGGCCTGTCCCAGGCACGCCAAGGAGATGTGTACAGGGAACTTCACAACGACACAGCAGGCTGTCCTCTCAAAGCCAAGCATCAGACAGCCTCACGCCACAGAAAGATGGCGGCTTGGGTGAGGAAACCCAAAGTATAAATGGAGGACAGATATTAGGAAGGAAGAAGAACTTGTTCAGTGGGAGGGGGAACAAGGGATGGTGGAGAGGGAAAAGAAGAAACAGAAAAGGATGTTCAATAAAAGAATGGAAAGAAAAAATGGATACAGAGCTTTTGTAAATGCGGAAGAGAAGAAGAGCTGAAGGGAAGGGAGGTAAAGGGGAAAAAAGAATTCAGATATATTATGTACACATACACATTCCTCATGATTACTAGGATCATTACATACAGCACACATGCACTAAAGAAAAAATAATTTAGAAGATAAATAAAACTGAAAAAGCAAAAAAAAGGCTGGGTGTGTAGCTCAGGGTAAAGGCTCTGGGTCTAATCCCCAGTACTACCACCACCAAAATATCTATCTATTTATCTATCTATTTATCTATCTATCTATCCACACACAGAGAGAGACATACGATTTTTTAAAATTATGAAGCATCTTGGAAAAATAAAATTTAATCTCTGGTTTCTCATCTACTAAAAAATAAAACAAGAGAAAAATGGCAAGAGAGACCTTCTATGCCTCCTGATGTGACACAACAGGAACTACAGCTCTCTAGGTTTTCCCATAAAAGTCTCACTTTACCAGTGTTTCTCAGCCATGGGCAAGTGGGGATGTTTAGTCACCCTAGCAATGCACTGCCGCTAAAAAAATTCTTGACATAAAATCAAGCAGTTCAATCTAACCTCTAGATCATCTTAGATATACTCAGGGGACAGAGGTGTTCACTGACGTGACAGTGAGATGTTATGCAACAGGTATTAAATGGTACAACAAGAATACAGTCAGATCACCACCTTACAACCAAAACCTTCCATCTGTAAATGCGGTGCCAATTTCCTGAAATGAACTCTCAATTTTAATGCAATTTCCCCCCCCCCCTCCGGCACCGGGAACAGAACTCATGACCTTGCACTTGCCAGGCAGACGCTTTGCTGCTGAGCTAAATCCCCAGCCCTTAATGCAATTTAAATTGCATTCCTTCTTTGAAATAGTTTTAGGAATGTAAGTGCTTCTAGAGCTTATCTGAAAAAGACAAGAAGAACAAAGAGTAAGGGGCACAGGGACTTACTTAGTAAAACATAAACGATTTTCATTAACAAGTAGGAGACTTGTTCCAGAATACGTAGAAGATTGAGGAGAATCTAGTACAAAAATTATAACAATCTGTTCTTTAGAGAGCTGTTAGAACCCAGGGGGAGGAATAGGGAGATACAGATTAAAGGGTATGAAGTTTTAGTTGGGATGAGTCAGTTCTGGAGACCTTATGTACAGCAGGATGAGTACAGTTTATTACAACATAGTGTATAATGCATGCTGTATCTGAACACTGCTAACATAGATACCAAATGTCCTCATTACTCAAAAAAAGATAGCTATGAAGTGATGGAAATATTAGTTAGCATGATATAAACATACATCAAAACATCACACTGTCTACCAGAAATAAACAATTTTGATTTGTCAATTATTCAATAAAGAAAAAATATTTGATAGCACCGGTAAAACCACACAAGCATGTTGGTTTTTTGTTGTTACTTTGTTGCTCTTTTGTGCTGGCAATTGAACCCAAAGCCTTCACGCTGAGATACATCTCCAGTCCTTCTTTATTTTTATTTTTTAAGAAAAGGTCTTGCTAAGTCACTAAATTGTATAGACGGGACTGGAACTTAGCAATCCTCCTGCTTCTTTCTCCCAGAGTGCTGGGATTACAGCATGTACCTCACCCAGACAACCTGATACTTTCTTGTAGGAGACTAATGCTGTGGGATATGTTTACCTGACACTTCTATTTTTAAAAGTGTTTATGACTATTCTGGCTTTCTATTTCTTCTTGAATCAAATTTTTTTTTGTTTTGTTTTTTTTCCGGTACCGGGAATCGAACTCACGACCTTGCACTCGCCAGGCAGGTGCTGTGCCGCTGAGCTAAATCCCCAGCCCCTTGAATCAATTTTTAATGAGCCCTAATTTCTAGAGTCACGTCCATGTCATCTAAGTTTTCAAATGTGGCAGCATAATATTCTACAAACTATCCCTTATCTTTTTTACTGTGCCCTGTGTTTTAGAAAATGGTGAAAGGAATTATCAGGCCCTTTTTTTTTTCTTTTTTGGTCTTTTTGAGGCAGGGTCTCACTGTGCAGTTCTGGTCTTGAGCTCCCTTTGTAACTCAGGCTGGTCTCAAACTCACAACAATTCTCCTGCCTCAGCCTCCCAAGTGCTGGGATTACAGGCATGCGCCACCACGCCTGACTCAGGCCGTTTCAAGAAAGAGTCTAAGTCCCTAATTGGGTATGATTTGTGCCACACAACCATACTTCCAGACCCAATTGATGGGGTGAGCTCCTACGGTAAGGACTCAGGGAACCCTGGAGTAAGGCTGGACCCAGGACACCTGGTGTTGTGACCTGTATCTAGACGGTCCCCCAAAGCCTCAGGCAATCATAAGTGGGGCTTCTTCAGAGGTAGCTAAATATAGAATGTGTGATGCTGGGATTGATTCACGGTGCAATGCTAGGATCGAACGTGGTAGGATTAAGGGTATGAGTGCTACCCACTTTAAGTAGCCTGGATAAGATACAAGGGATAGAAAGAGCTGTGGTCGCTCCTTGTTGCTTTGCTACCTTCTGCCTACCATGAACTGTTTCTCCTCTGCAATGCCCCTCGGCCATGCAACCCTGCCCTGGAGCCAGCCCATGATGGACTGAAACCTCCACAAACTGAGAGCTAAATAAACCTTTCCCCCGTTCACTTTGGGTGAAGGGCATTTTGTTTCAGCAACTAGAAAAGTAACTAAGACACCCAGGTTGAAGCCACAAAGAAAAAGATGCAGTAGGCTTGACAATATAAAACTGTTACATTTCTGTAAATCTAGAAATATCATGAAATTAAACGGCAAATAGCACATAGCAGTTGCCCTTGTCCCAGCCTCGAGGGACAACCTGGTGCAGCTGCTGCTAAAACACACTCTGCACAACACGGCTGGAAGCCGTGAGGCTCCCAGCCAAGACCTCACAAACCTGGCTGCAAAGCTCAAAGAAATTCACAAAGCAGGGTGTCAAGAACCCTTTAGCTCCCAAGATCCACTCTCGATGACCTTCAGGGTATGGGTCCTGCTGCCACCAGGTGGCCTCTGCTGTCCCCACTGAGGCTCCAAGTCACACCTCCAGCCTTGTGGCTTCCCCCGCCCCCCACACACACCTGGCTCACACAGGGCCACCATCTCCAATAGAAGTCTCCTCTCCTTCCCCACTTCCAACCCTGCTTCTAGCAACCTGGGAATGTCTATCATAGAATCGTGGTGCCGGATTAGAAAATGACACTTTTAACTGGTAGTCTCATAATACTGCCTCTTGGGAGTCTTACTACACTGTTGAAAAAAATTCTCTGAGTATGTCTAAGCAGAAAGAAACAGGCTACTTTTCCCATCATAGCAATTATACTGCGTATTTTTAAAGGATCTAACACTAAATCAGATTGCTTCCAAGCAGCTACATGTAAGATCAAAAGCCACAAAGTAAATGAAGAAAACACTTGCAACCAATACAGATAGGAGGGTGGCAGCTCACCTCTGGTAAAAGGGAGGGGTCATTCTGCAAAAGCAGGACCCGAAGCTGGGCTTCGTTGAGGCCAAAAAGCCCGTGGTTTTTCAGAACTTGGATGTTGACAGGGGTGTGGATGTCGTGGGAAAGGTTGCAGGTGGACCTAGAAGAACACCAAGCTCTGAATCAATTTTTTTTTTTTTTTTTTTGGTACCGGGAATCGAACTCAGGACCTTGTGCTTGCCAGACAGGCGCTTGTGCCGCTGAGCTATATCCCCGACCCTCAAGCTCTGTATCAAAGCCAGTGAGAAAGGGGCCAGCTTTCAGCCGACTTGTGAAGGTGAACGATTACTGGTAGATAATCAGAAAGCTGGACTAAAGCAACTCCCTTCCCAGGGTCATTTTCATGTCCCATGATCTAAAGCCAAGTCACCCCGCCCCTCCCCTCGCCACCCCTCCCCTCCCGCGGGATGGGCGGCACAGTGGGCCCCAGGGGCGTTTGGCATCACCAGCTGTGCGCACTCAGCACTTCGCTCCCCCGACCCCTAGGCCTCGCTTTCCTGGGGTCAGACTGGACCGGGGTTTGAACTGCACACTGCAAAACCTCCCCTACACTACACAGGTTCAAAAGGTCCGAGCAACTCCCAAGCTTCTCAAATGTCCCTTCAGGGGGCACTGAGAAGAAGTGAACTCGGACTTAACCCGGATTTAAGGCCTGGAATCCTAGCACTGAGGAAGCCGAGGCAGGAGGTTCGCAGAGAGTTCGAGGCCAGCCTGGGCTACACAAAGGTATCTGGTCCCCAAAACGAACAAACAACCCGTGGGGACACAGAAGGGGCCTCGGTAGCAGCCTGGGGTCCCCTGCGGCCCGCCCGTCCCGTCGGGAGAAGTCCCCACCCGGCCCAGGGCGCCCCGCGCCCCTCACCAGCAGTCCCGGTGCGGGCACTTGCCCAGCATGTGCCGGCGGCAGAAGTGCAGCTGGTCGCAGCCCCGGCACTCGCCGCGCTGGTAGCGCGCGCACAGGCGCGCGGAGGACACGGCCACCACCCTGCAGGCCCGGGCGCCGCCCGCCTC